GTGAAAACTTGTATGGCTAGGAAGAACTCCGGGATTCTCACTGAGGAGCTACTGCAGCATGTACAAAAGCTATGCAGAACTGCAGAATAATACTATTTTGGTAAACATTACGATTTGAGCCCAGAGATATGTGGTCGTGATGATTCTCCCATAGCATATCTCATGCCACTAAATTCTGAATTGCATCTATTTTGGTGTAAAAATGTGGGCCCCATTCATGCAGCAGTTGTACTTCCAGCACAGGTCCTTTTCTCATTCAGCAAACTAAGAATGTCGCCTTTGGTGCGGATGGCAACAGCCCCAGCTCCACCACCTGCTAGACAGCACACCTTGTCCACAGTTAGAAGACCTACACAACACGTGGTGCCACCCCTCAGTTCTGGAGGTTTAGCCACCATTTCCAGCTTTCACCCTACATGCAGAGACACTGCAAGTACAGGCTTTAAAGGAATAAAGCAGGTTCTCCTTATAATCCACTGACTATATTTAATTCAGCAGAACATTTGTTAATTCCACTCAAACTGCTTCTCAAACAGTCAAATGGAGGAGATGTAAAAGCACATGAACTAAGAAGATACTAGATCTTGAAATTAAATTAGTGGCAGTGTAAGAGGTAGGCAATGGGAAAAAAAAAACCCAAAAACCTTTGACTAGCAGTTTATTTTTTGATATCTCTTTCATGGTTAGGAATATTACAAAAGGAATATGAATTTTTGAAAATGTAATATTTTCTCAAGAAATTGTAACTTCATATGTGAGCAGCATTTTTAAAATACACATATTTTGAAAATGCTTAAAATTTGAAGTTTTGAGTTAATTCATCATTGAAAGCACTTTTTGAAAAGTTTTAGCCATATACTGATACACATATGTAGATGCTAAATAATTTTTTTCCTATTTTTAATTTTCTTTAATGTGTTTTTCTCTCCTTGTAGATAGAGATAACTATAATGATAAGGTCCAAACCATGATTTAACCTATGATTTCATCCAAGCCAGATGCCATATAATATGCTAAATGCTGAGACAAAACCACCATGCAAACACCATTGCGAGCCCAGTTCTTCAGATATTCATAAGGCTAAGCATTGCAAAAAATCTGAAAGAAACTTATTGTAGATACCAAATCCAATAGGAAGAGCACTGTTTGAATTCTTGCTACAGAAACCTCTGGGGGCCAGTACAGTTACTGAAGGAAATCTTTACAAGACAACTAAAAATGGCTGAAACATTTTGATACATTTAATATTTTATGTTAAATTTTCAGTGATTCAAAGATTTTTTAATTTCATTTGAAGAGGCACAGTCTTTACTTACAATACAGTTGAAGGTAAATGCATAATCATTCTTGTTTCTATAGGAACTCCTTTTTCAGAGGTAATGACAAAGAAAGTATGGTTGTGATCTTTTTCCTTCCTTTTTCAGGCCTTATGGCAAAATAGAAGTACAACACCCTTTCAAAGTCTCTTTCCAATTAAGAGCTAATGGGCACTTTTGAAAATGCTTTTAGATTGCATTATGCACATACCTCCTGAGAGGAAAAAACAAGTCTCTTCTGCTTCGATTTTTATATGGAGCCCTGACTGAATGGCCAGCAGTATGGAAACATTTGATTTCTTGTTCTGCAGTGCTGTTTTATCTCTTCTGAAAGCCAAATACCTACTAGTGAAAGGAAATGGTAGGCTTCCCAAGCTGCACTAAGGTTGGGAATCTTACTGCAAAAGTACATTTTGTGATTCACAAAATATGCACAATACTTTGAAATGGTCATCACAACTGAGATTTGACTGAAGAGACACAGGAGTGCTGTTAAAGCTTCCTATTGCTCCATTGTTTAATGAAGTTCCTTTTGGTGATCCCTTCTGCTTAAGTTTCAGTCTTCAATTTTTTCCAGATCTCACCTGTAGCATCTCCTTTCTTCAAGAGAAACTCCACGGGCCCCAGTGATAACCTGAGCATTTTCCTGTTCCTATTTTTAGTTTGTAGTAATTCAGTCTTTATGCACAGTTATCCTGCTTCATCTTCCACTTAGAGTAACACCCTAAAGGTGGCAGTATTCAGAAGAGACTAATTTATTGTTGACAATACACTTAGAGTAGATGAACTACTTTATCTTGCTATCTATACACCTTCAGAACAATTACACTGAACTGGCAAATTTTAAAAACATCTATATGCAATATAAAATTTCTATGGGGTATTAGTGCAATTTCCTCAGAAATAATTGTGCTACTAGCACTCCACAGAAATCATAGAAATGTGTTGCAACTACTGTGCAACAGCTGGGACTCAGTACTAAATAACATATTTGGGTACTCAATTTGAGACCAGTTCAAGGAACATTGCAATATGTTGTCAGTGCTTTATAAAAATGGGTTAATTCAAAGATGTCAGTCACTTAATTGCTTTTGAATCCAGATAACAGGCTGTTTATTTTATGAAAAATAAAACCAGGTATCATTTTACTGTGTTCTCCCAACCTTGCAGGAACTCTCAATCATTTCATTATGGATCATTCCTTCTTATTGTTTCTCCCTGTAATATAGTATAAACCAAAGTTCTCCTGTGTGGATGTTTAGCATGATTCTGGATTAATAGTACTGCATTTTACTGATGAGTGCATTATACGTATTATAGCATGATCAGATGTTGGACAGGTAACTAGCTGGCCTTTGGCTCATCTCCCTATTTGGGTGGCTTATGACACAGAAGGGGCCAAGAGGAAACAGAAAGTCTTTGTAAGACTTTAACCCTAAACACTTGGTAAGAAATTAACCCTAAAGCTGACTAAAGAAGCTAAATGGAAAAGCTTCTGCTGTAAAGACAACATTTTTCTTATCTGTGAAGTATGGCTAACTACCAGGGCTTCTGCTTGGGGATACTGCTTGAAAAAAAAACCAAACAAAAAGCCCAAACACTTAACCTTGGACACTGGTGGTAAAAGAATAAATGCTATATTTCACTTGTGTAAGTTTCCTTTATTCTGTGTCTTCCACCATATGGGTTATGTATGTTTACATTTACCTCACACCCTCTTATGTTAGCAAAAATCTGTGCAAACTGTGTATGTACACACACTCATACGGTTATGAAAATGAAGGGAGAATGCAAAATGTTGTACAACTCACAGTTACTATTTGATTCTTTGAAACTTTCATGTCACTGCTCCTACAGGTAAGTAAAATTCCTCAACTACATCAAGTTTTCATCCGTTTTATAATATGCAGGTTTCTGACGATTGCAGCCTCCAGAAGCTTTCTACAGACAGGGATATGACAGGGATAGGACTTGCTGCCAGTAAAAAAAAAAAACAACAAAAAAACCCAAAAAAAACCAACCAAACAAACAAAAACTCCAAAAAAAACCCACAAAACAACAACAACAAAAAAAAAAAACAAACAAAAAAAAACCCCAAAAAAACAAAAAAAACCCCAAAACCCCAACAGATCATCTTAGAATCATGTTAGGGACCTCGTATTGCTGCTCATTGCTGCTCCTGAATTGCTCAATGTAAACCTGACACTCCGTGTCCGCCATTAAAAAATGTGTTAAATCCGACTATTTCAAAGAGTACAAAGAACGCAGAGTGAGGTACGGAGCTCCAAACCCCACGCAGCACTAACTTCGCAAGTGCAGGGAGGAACGGGGCCAGCAACAGCTCTTCCATCAGCAAACGCAAGCCAAGCAAGCGACGAAGAGGCTGGAGACGCCCTCACACCACCGACGCGGCCAGCGTCCTCTCCGCAGTACGGTCCCGGGGAAGCCTCGGACGCGGCCGCCTTCAGAACACAAGGCCGACGGCGACGATCATCGCTCCGCAGCTGCACCCCCGTCCTGTCGAGCCCGTGCCCGCCGCCAGAGCCCCGGCAGCCCTCGCCTGCGGGGCCTCCCTGAGGCCCCCTCGCCCTCCGCACAGTGCCCTCCTGTCTCCCGCCGCCTCTTCCGAAGCGTGCCCGGAGCGGCCCCGAGCGGCGCCGTCGGGCGTGCATCGGGACGGTCCCGGTGCGAGCCGCGGGGTCCCGCCGGCCGCAAACTCGTGCCCCCTCACCGCGCCGCCCCTGAAATGGCCGCCCAGCCGCGCGGGACTTCCCTCCTCCGCGACCCCCGCCCCCTCCGCTCCCGGGGGAGGCACATCTCCCGAACCGCGGCACCCCGCCGAGCCGGGGTTGCCCCGACCTCCGCGCCGCGGAGCCGCCCCGCTCTCCCCGGAACACGGCGGGGAGGGAGCAAGGGTGGAAGATGGGGGATCAACCGCGCCGCCGCCCGCGTCGGGGAGGCGGGGGCACCGCTTCTTGCGGGGCTGTGGGGGCGCCGCACACGCTCCCTCCTCACGGCGGGGAGGGTTAATAAAGGCCGGCGACCGGCTGCCCGCGGCCGGGGGCGCCTCTCCGCGGCCCAGCAGTCACCGGCATAGGGGTGGCTCGGTCGCTCGCCACTCCGCGAACCGCTCTGCCTCCCCGAGGTGCCGCCGCTGCCTCGGCGGGACTCGCCGGCGTGTGAGCCGCCGCGCGGAAGGAGCCGCTCCGCCTCTGACAGAGACGCGCCCCCTCCTCCCCTCCCCACCGCCCGCCCGCCCTCACCTCGAGCTGGCGCTGCCTCCCCGCTCTGCCGCCGGCGCCTCGCCCGTTCGCCACTGCGCCCCGCTACTGTCCCCCTGGCGCCTGGCCCCGCCGAGGGGCAGGTGGCCAGCCCAGCCCTCTCCCCCGCTGCCTGCTGCGGCTGCTGCGTCTCTCGTCCCCCGCTGCAGGGAAGTCGCAGCGGCGATTGCCAAGCGGGAGGAGAGGACAGGAGAGGAGTGGAGCCGCCGGCGGCTCGGGCAGCGCGCTGCGTCTGGGTCTCCGGGAATGGACTGGGCTTCGTCCTGCGCCTCACCCTGCCCGTGGAGACGAGGGCGGTGATCGTCCGCCCAGCCCGCCAGGGAGGAGAGCACCCCGGTTAAATGTCACGGCTCCCCGTCCGCTCCCCGCCGCCACCCCGCGCATCGCTCACCTCGGGAGGGGGCTGTGAAGGTGGCGGCAGAGGCAGCCTCGTCTGCGGCGCGCCCCACTGCCGCTCGCCGTGAGGGAGCGCCCCGGCAGCCGCCAGGTAAGCGACGGGAACCCCCCCGGTGCCGTCGGGGGTAGCGGCCGCCGGGAGTCCGCCCGTGAGGGCAGAATAAGTTTCGCGGAGGGGCCTCTGGAAGCGAAGAGGATCCTCGCGTCGCGGGGGTCTGCGCCTCCCGATGCGGGGGCTGCGGCGGCGAGAGTCGGCGGGACGCGGTGCAGCAGAGCTCTCCACCGCCGCCCGCCCCGGCCGCCTCGTCCCCGGGCCCCCGAGGGCTCTTGGACCAGCGGCGGTCGGCGCTGCCCGCCGTGGTGAAGGGGGGTGTCGGGCTGCCCCAGTGGCGGGTTGGGGGGGCGGGACGCCGTGCCCAGCATCACACCTTCCCTGGGGAAGAGCTTTCTCCGCCGGGCGGGGAACAGTGCAATGGGAGCAGGAGTTCTCCGGGGGCTCCGAGAGACGTGACACAAACACAATAGTCCTTTGTCACCAGTGAAGAGATGCTTCTACACCTGTGTCCGCTGCTGTGGTGGATGTGCTCGCTGGAGTACGTGCATCAGTAAAGTGGGTCTAGGGGGGTGATGGTGCTGCTGCACGGTGAAGGCACTGTTTTACCTTCTGCACAGCAAATCCAGAATAGCCCCCCCTTTTAGGGAGCTGCTCGAAGTACATGCAGGTGCTTCTGAACATACCTGGAAGAAAAACAACGGCAAGAAAATCATCCACTGATTCATCATTGTCTAGTCTCTTGAGTCTAAAATATAATATTTTGCAAGTCCTGTTCTATAGTTGCTGGAGTAAACACCAGTGCTTTGAATGTTCTTAAGCATTTTCCCATCTAGCTTTCCTTGCCAAGCAAAGAACTGCAGTGTGTTTTTATTACATGCTGCTGTTTTAAAATACTGTTATTTCAAAAGATTTTCTCATTAAAAAAAAAACAAACAACAAATCTCTCACATAAAAAGCAAAACGTCTGAGCACAGAACACTTAAAAAATAAATCAGATCTGAACTTGCATTGCTTGCCAAGTGCTGGGTGGTGGTGATGGGGGCAGAAAGAAGCACACAGCTTTTCTGTGCCTTTGTCATGAAAATGAGCCATGCAGTCTTTATTTCAGTCAAAACTACAGCACTAGGGAATGGAAGTGAAAATTAGTTTGCATAGTGTTCATGGAGGTAAGCCATAACCTGTAAAGCCATGAACACAAATTTTCTGAAGCCTTACCCCACTTTTTATAGTGACACATCTGGAATCAACAGATCTACAATGTAAAGTATGTGTAAGATTTTACCTCAAACCAATGTATATGCCCTAAAATAACGATCTAGCATTTAACTTACCATTCAGAACCACAACAGCTGCCTCCACAAGGAAAAAAAAAAAAAAAAAGCGCTAGGAGGTAGAATAAAAGGATACGCTTTCCTGAGCTGCTACCTTCCAGTGAAAAGCCTAAAATTAAAAGAGATGGTCTCTGTTCCTTCTGTATGCAATCAAGGCACCAGTAGTTCCATCAGAGGCTACACCCTTTCCAGGAAGTGTTTCATTGTAGAGTCGGAGCTGCTATGTGTTCTACCTTACTGTATAATGTGCCACACAGAAGAGTGTGCTAATATCAATATGATCCTACTCCTACTATATATATATATATACACATGTAAATATCCCAGCCAAAATGGGATTTGGGATTTGGGATTTTTTCTTCAGATCAGCAGTTAAAATGATTGACTCCTCAGCTACTGTACCACCTCCTTATTTTTCTTGAAAAGGAGTGTTTTTGACAGTAGCTAATATATGTGAATCAGAACAGTGATACTATTCATTTTAAGTAAACAGAATATCCCTGAAAACTGCTTTTACTGCTCTGAATTCCCTCTTCGGAGAGTATGAATAACACCTACATAGATTGAACAACACAAGGTGTGATCAGCTACATAGAAACAGCGTGGTTTGGTACTATAACAGGTATCAGATCTTTTGTTACTGTTCTAGAATCCAGACATTCTGTGAAAGGGCTCTAGGAGAAAATGTTACCCTGCGTAGTAGCAGCAAGAGGTGAAAAAATACAAAGTATTAGAGAAGCTTGTTAGCTTAAGGAGCTGTCCGCAACTACTGTGATTAATACTCTGTTGGCGCGCTACTGTGAACTAATACCAGGATTTGGGTATCCTGCAGTTAAGAAAAAAGACCAAAGTAACTTGCCCTTTGTAGTTCTGAAGCCGTATCGTTTTTCTCCAACACAGACAGTTAAGGAGGTCTGAAGATTGGAATATCAGTGGCCCTGTGCCGAGTTTAACAATGTAAGTCTATGTTAGTGCCTTTTTCATATCTTGTGTTAAGGCCATTCAAATAACATAAACACAGAGTGGGTGTGGTTATTGGAGAGGGAGGGTATCGATAAGGATTCTAGGAGGATTCCTGTGGTGATTTTTCTAAGTCATGCTGATATGACTCTTACTTGTTTTTAGAGGTTTTGGTTTTTTGTTTGTATACCTTTTGGCTGTCTAAACCCTAGTGAATAAAGTGGGGGCAAAAGGATTAAGGAGTTCTAAAGGCTCTGTATATAGCTGTCTGTTGGTTTATTGGCTTGTCCTTTGTGAGAAGCTGGATTTCTTTATAGCTGTTTCTGGTAATTAAAAATCCAGATGATGGACAAACGATCAGTTTTAGTAAATCTATATGATATTAGGTATGTATATTGCTGCATTCTCCTATTGCAAAGGAGCTTATTTGGCTACTAGTACTATGACACATTATGCTGAGTGCATTCTAATTCTCTGTGCTTTCTCTTCATTTTTTGTACAGCTATTAAGGAAATTTAAGAAAATTATATTTCTAAGTAGTCAATGATTGACATGCCTCTGTCATAAGGCTGATTTGGCTAAGGTGTGTCTAATTATGAATCTTTTTAAATTATTGCTCATTTCTAATTAGTACAGTGACTACTTTAACTGTTGATTTTCCAAAATGTTTTAATCTCATGTGGTTTTAGCCAGATACTCATTTTTTCCACCTAATTTGAAAGCATAAAATCAAGACTTTTCTTCTTTTCTGGAGAGTGTGGCCTTTCTGTTACTTAGAAAAACATTAAAATAGATGAGATGATTCTGTAAAGTATGGGATTGAAATATTTGAAATATATAGACTCTGGTCTTCAAGATATGCAATATACCAATCAATGTTTTCTGTGCTGAGGTATCAATATTATTCCTGTGAGATATGCTGAGTAGAATTCATATTTGAGCTGCTTCCCATATTATAAACCTTTTGATTCCTGGGGGACAATTTCATTTCTTAATGATGAAAATCTGTGGAGGAAGGAAGATAAACTGTCATCTGTGTTGTATAATGACATTTTGGTGGCCCATTTTCTGTTGTTAAAATGCAAATCTTGTGATTTTTTTTTTTTCTATCAGAAACGATTCTATGAAGCAGTAGTTCATGAGATTATTTATAAACATACTGATCAGAGCTGCTATTTGATTAATGTTCTAGATCTCTTATTGCCTTATCTCTTATTGCTTTTGAAACTGGAAGTAGATACTTGTATCAGCAGACTGTAGGCAATCTTGTTCTATATTGATATACTGTTAATGTTTTCAGATTGATTATTGTTGTAAAAGTCCTATTAGGTCAGTATGGATATTTAGTGAACACCTCTTCTGCGTGGTGGAATTAGTGGACCATTCAACCCATCTTTCAGAACTATTCCTAATTACATGCAAATAGGAATAAGGGTGCATTGCAATTAATATTTTATAGAAAGAAGAAAAGAAGAAAATTTTAAGAAAATTCTATAAAATATTTTATAGAAATATTTTAAACTGCTTCTTATTATTGATTTGCACTTCTGCTAATAGTTTTCTCATTCCCTTCATAGTAGGCAAGTGTTGCAAGTAAATGCCAAAATTCTACCTGAGTTGGTGTATTTTAAATGGCATAGTCAAAGTAGGTGATTCTTTAAAAAAAATTCAGAAGAATAAATGTTTCTGAAGGAAATGGATATCTTGGTTTTCATCTGATGGTCCTATTACATTTCCTAAAAATAAAGAAAACTGAGAAAATTGGGTTTTAGTTGGGCAAATAAAGTGACATAATTTATTAGCTGTCAATCTCAAAACTAAAGTTGCAATGAAAGAAAAAGGAATTGAGTATTTTTCAACTTTTGTCATCATTGGAAGTAAAACTATAATGTATTTCAATGGAGTAAAGAGAATCATCTTCAGCAGAAATATTTGTTTCTATAAAAATATTTCTTTATTGTGGGCTTTGTTTGATTAACTGCAAAATGCCTGTCCTTTGGTCAGATTGAGGAAAAATAATTATTCTAAAGTCCTATTTCTTTTTGTTTAGCTAGTATTTATACAACAGTACTATGATTAATATTTTATAATTTTTAATAAACATGTTTTATTTCTACTTTTTTTTAATAAAATTTGCATGGCTTCTTAAAGCCATTATTCTTCAGGTGGACACAGATTCTTTTAAATGGTAGAAAACCCCAAATATGTCCTGAAAAACTATTGGTAAGAAAAATTAACCCTTACTTTTTTAATATTAGAAGTTATAATTTAGAAAACTGCTTTTGTTCTGATATGAATGTTTAACGCCTAGGAGCAACCAGTGGTCACTAGTTAAGTTTGTAGGAATTAAATAGCACTCCATACCCCTCACTTCTCCCTGTCCCTCAGCTCCCTTTAAGCTGACCTGTCTTCAGTGTTGAATATTTGTAAGGGCCATGGGGTGGCATTTACTGAGGCAGGCCAAAGACCATCTTTGAGCTGTACAAATGAAGATCTCCATCTCTAAGGGAAGAGTGGGATTTCACTGGAGTCTGGTGTTTTTCCTGTAACTGAATTTAATATGGGGAATCATGTCACTAGAGAAACCAAATAGTCTGGTCTTAGAACAGGACAGCTACTTAGATTGTCATCCTCTGTTCACTTTCCAACCTGAAGAAATTTCATCCTATTATTTCCTTCACTTTATCTTGTTTCTGAGAAAACAAAAAGTTTTCTTGAAATGGTATTTATTTCTCAATTGCTGCAATTCATTAAATGCATTTCAACTCATGTTTTGGTGAAGTGTTTATGAAATAGTGGTAGATGCTGGTTGTGAAGAGTTTCATGAGAGAATTTCTTGAGGAAAAGCTCACTTTGGCATCTTCAGAGTTCTGTTTCCTTTAACGTAGAAAGGTTTGTGTTCTTCTGTGACCAGTCATCAAGCAGATTCCTATTCACAGCGCACATGAGCCTCAGCAATGATATTGTCCCATGTTTGCCCTACACCTTTTGCAGGCCAGCATGTACCAAAGTCAGTTAAAATCATCAAAACTCCACCACATCTGGAATGCATGAGTTCTGCAGGCAGGTAATGCATGTGGGAAGGACACAGACAAAGACTCAACTGTGTTTTATCGTGTTTATAGAGACTGAGATAACCTCAAGAGAGACAAAAAACAGAAACAAACTCCTTGGGAAGAAGAAATTATGCTTCCCTTTAGGCCCTGGAGAATAAAAAGGAGGGAGAGATTTCAAGATTGTGAGATTTTACAACTCTGCAGACCCATAGTTGGTCTAGTTAACACCTGTCAGACATATTAAAGAGGAGATACAGTTTGTGGCTGTTTGTGACAAAATCTCATGTTTCTGAAGTGGAAAGGACTAGGAAAGACTGAAGCTGGAACAGTGGAGTGTGACTGGGAAAGAGAGAGCCAGACAAGCCCGTGGCCTCTCAGCATCAATTTGCCTTGATGTTCTCAGAAGTAACCAATTACACTTATGCTTGAACACTGTGGTTCAATTTTCCAGGCATAGCAGTAATTGTCCTGAAAGAGGAGACTGTGTTGCTATTCCTTTCATAGGTGTTAGAAAGTGTTGAGATTCAGAAAGCCACTCATCTTCAGTGGCCCTGTGTGAGTACAAGACTTGCTTTAGATATCCCTCTGAATGCCTCCAGTGCTGTATGTAACTATGAAAACCAGAACAATTATAAAGAAGAAAAGATGAGACTTACCATTCTATTAAATAGGAAGTATTACTTTGACCATTAGTATCCGGAATAGATTTTTGATTTGAAAGTCAGGAAAAATGTAATGGCAATAATGTATGTGGGGAAGAACCATTGTGGAAGTGGGTTGTATTTGTGGCAGTACATGAGGAGGTAGTCTGGAAGAATATGCAGAATTCTACATTAGCCAATGGCTCTATAGGCTTTATAGTATACTTTTGAATTATTTTTTTTTGTTTTGTTTCTTTTTTGAACTACGGAGTGGGAGTAACCAAATCTATTGAGAAAATAGCTGTCTCATGCCAGCTTTTCACTGTTCTATTCCCAGTGTAAACTGGAGCACATTGCAATGAAAAAGAAGCACTTTGGGCTATAGGCAACATGTGGAAGCAGATATATTCATTTACTGTAGTGAAAGCCTTCAAAGAGCAAGAGGACCAGTTAAATTTGAGATAAAATTCCTCTGTGCTCACAACATAAACAGACCCTAGTGCAAACAAGAATTCATTCCAATTGGGAATGGATTCAGTTTGCTAGAATAGGTTATAAAGTAGATAAGTAGATTCACATAAGCTTAAACCCCAAGAAATTCTTGTTTCTGTTGTCTCCATAGACAATGAGGAGGAAGTAATTATCTTAGAGTTAATGCAAAGGTAGTGTAAAGATGTATCAAGGTAAAAGGCAGTGGAACAATTGTAGAAATTAAACTGCAGTAAATAATAAGCTTGCAATAGCTTGCTTCTTACATTTCTAAAGGAAATGCATAGCTGAGGGCCTGAGTGACTTCTGAATCTATAATTTATTTTTAAATGCTATGTCTGATCTGGAGGATAGCCACTTATTAGGAAGAAAAATTTTGTCAGGAATTTATGAATAGTAGTCAAACCCCGAGGAAATAATTCAGAAAAATAGATGAAGTCAACATCTCAAAATATCTGGATGAACATATCAGGAGGATATGATTGCTGCCCACTTTAAGGGGACAAATATACAAATACGCTGTAATAACAGTCTTGTCCAGCTTCATTCCTACTGCCAGCATGGCTTAAAGTGAATGTACAGTTGCATTCTTATTATAAAGTACTTTTCTTGCTGATAACATTTCTTCAAACTGTTCATATACTGTTTTAAAAAGCTTGATTAAGGGAACAAAGTTGCATGGGTGTTCTTAAGAAAAGAAGGAGATTGTAAATAATTTAGTTTTTTTTATTCTTTGCAACCAATGCTTCTCTGTTTTTCTCAGACTGTATTCTGAAAATGGAAGTTGTGTTGAGCCATTAGGTCTCTCCTA